CATCAATTTTCGTTTTTTATGTGACATAACATGCCTTCTATTTGATATTTATTCATTTGATTGATTTCGGATCAATAGTGGGATTTTTAAAAGCAATCGCTGATCATTCATTGTTCAATGTAGTTTTCCAGACAATAACTCTTATATCATTTATGCATTCTATAAAAAATCCTAGTATATTTGTCGGGAAAAACATTCTGTAAATAAAAAACATACGTGATTTGTTTTGGCTAAAGTCAAACGGGGTGGTGATTGAGTGATTATTGATTTGACCTTGAAAAATTGGTGAAATATTTGATCCGTCAAAAATAACAAACTGAATTGAATGGTTTATACTGCTGATAAAACTGAAATTTAGACTTGAGAATTAGGATTTAGAGTTAATATGATGGTTTAAAAATTAGAATGTAGTGAAGAGTTTACGTCCTGTGTCTATGCGGAATATTTCAGATCCGTTGGCCAAACAGCATAAGCATCAACCTACTGTGAGAGAGAATAAACCAGATTCCATCTGAGGAAGAAATTAGAAAGAAACGCTAGAGATGGATAGGACACATATTGAGGAAAGCACCGAAATGCGTCACGAGACAAGCCCCCACTTGGATCCCCTCCAGGTAAAAGGAGAAGAAGAAGACCAAAGAACACTTCATGCCGAGAATTGAAGACAGACAACAAAAGAATCTACAACAGTTGGATAGAACTGGAAAATAAGGCTCATGACAGAATTGGTTGGATAATGTTAGTCGGCGCCCGATACTCCATTGTGTGTAACATGCGTAAGCAAGTAAGTGAAATTTATGGTTTGGGTTTAGAATATAGATTTCAAGGTAAAACGTAGGACAACACTTGTTACATTAAAGATTTATAGCACATTCAAGCTAACGAGAAAGTTCTTTCCTAAATTTAGGCATAAGTGTGACCAAATAATCAAATCAAAAATTTCTACTGTTACTTACTTCAATACCTTATTACTTTTACCTTTCTTTTTTTGAAGAAAAAACAACACCTTTCACTGTAAAATTACATCATAAGTTAAACGAAAAAAAATTGACAATTGAATGCTTTTAATTTCTTTTCAGAAATTTTAATTTTTTTTTACTGTACTAGCAAGCAACACTGAAAAGTGATGTGAACGGATATGAAAAGAATAGTAAGAATAGTTTCTTAAAAATCTACTAATCTTGTGATATTTTTATTTTGTAAAAAAAGAATTCATTGATACAAGAAATGATTTTAGAAAATGATTTTAGATAATTACACGTATTTTAATTGACATATTAAGTCATGAATTAATTACTTATAGGTTTGAGTTCTTCAGAATTAATATTAAAGACAATTGTCTGTTTTTTTTACAGGAGACGTCGACGAACATAATAACTAGCACTAATAATTTTGTAAAAGTTCAAAGGGGTGTTAAGATCATGTGTGAGTAAGGGATTGAACATGGTTCTTCTGAATACAGATGTCGGGTGTGAAATGATAGATTGCTTCACGTCTGAGCCAACCCCTCTTCTGAGCCGATTCCTTTCACCTTGGAGAGGAACTTGAAAGATGAACCGTGTGGTGGGTTGTAACCTCAGTTGACCGTTTAATCAAGGGTTGAGCTGCTGACTGATCTGCATTCTCCTTTAGATAGCCATCTGGGACAGCACTCAGCTGTTAGTTTACCAAGTACACATTTTGTTCGGCTAATGTAGCTTGCTCCACAAGAGCAAGTAAACTGATAAAAACACATTGAGTTGGCCAAAAGTAGCGGTCTAAGGGAGTGTCAAGAATACTATTAGTATCGACTGAGACAGATCAGATTTCGTCGAGGATGGTGATCAGCCGGTGAGTAAAGATCCCTCAAGAGGAAACGCATCAATAAATCGCGAATTCCGATCATCAGGGATAGCAGCAAACAAAGAAAGGAAGACAGTTCAGTAACATCTAGATCTGGTCGGAAAATGAAATGGCTACAATTTAGAATTCATAATTGATTTCACAGCTCCGAATATGAATTATTCTCCTCTTTGTTTGTATGTGGACATCAAAACATTTTCGTTATTCATTATGGAATTCGACATATGTGTAAAATCTTTTAAAATCATTAGTGTATTTTTTTTGATCACTTGTTATCTTATCTCACCTCAGGGATGTAAGCAAGCTCAACCTTACACGGACAAATGTTAACTTATATGCTAGTTATATCTTACATTTCTTTTTAAACTAATTACATTGATGAGTAAAAGCCATTAAAAAACAATCACTTACCATCTAATCTTTTTATAGTGTTTGTTTAAAACTTAATAACAAATAGCTTACCAATATTATTAAGTGGTTTGACGAGAGAGAACAGTTAGAATTAAACGCTAAATTTAGCTAAGTAACATTTGAAACTAATGTAAAAATGTACATCTACTTCATCCTAGGTAAACAATATAAACCCTTGAAATCATCAAGCAATCATTTTTAGACCACAATTAGAAACCTAGAAGCACTGGACGAACGTTTCGTACTGGTATGAGACTCGTCAGCAATGAGCATCCACGGCTCCTGCACCTGACGATTAGTGAATGATTTAACTGTTTAAAAACACTAATCTACATAACTCTAATTGAAAAAAATATATAAACCTTCTCAGTTCAAATTCAATCGAATCCAAAAACGTTTGAATTTAAAAGAAGCACGATTAATTCAAACCGTTTATACTAAAATCCATTTTTTTTAAATATTTTTGTTTCCAGTCGATCTCAGTTGATATATTATAACTATCATTAAGTGATGACTGTTGCTCTACTGACGAAACTGAACGTTGAACTCTCCCAAAAACTTATTAATGCAACTACTTTTATTGGTCACTTAAGTTTAATTCATAAAAATCAATTTTAAGAAAAGGACATATTCAGAAACCGGTTTTTCTGAAGCTCATTTTATATATATCGGATCATGAGGATGCTTTTTTTAAAGAGCCTCATTCAAGGAAGAAACGCTTGTCCCATGTTCGTTGATTTTCATTTGCTCTCTTGATAATGTAGGCTCGTGAAAAAAGGATTTTTAATTATGCTATTGAATAACTTATGAATTTATGGTTTAGTTGTTAGTTTCTATAACTGGTTAATATTTGTACAAAGTATCAATTATTGTTTTCAACTAAATACACATCAGATACAACTGATAGTTTAAAACACAGATTCCTTATATGCCCAAGTATAGTTTGCAGATCTTGTATATTTCTTGGTATTGATATTTTGAATTAAATCGTCCATCACTGTTGTTTGGGATTGAAACTCTTCGAATCAGTATTCAAAACTTACTTGCGTACTTACTCCTGCTACCACCAGTGGATCATAGGCCGACCACCATTCTTCACCCTCCTCTGTCATAAGACTTATTTCCCAGCTCTACCCAACAGCTGTTCATTCTTCTCATATTTGTCTTTGGTCTCCCTCTTCTGCTCTGGCTTTGAGGATTCTTAGTGAGGGCTTGTCTCTTGACGCAGTTAGGTGCTTTCCTCAGTGTGTGTCCTATCCACTTCCAACCACACTTCCTTATTTCTTCTTCTCTTGCAATCTGGTTTATTCTCTCCCACAGTAGGTTGTTGCTGATAATGTCTGACCAACGGATCTTCAGTTTCTTAAGGAGGGGACTTTTAATAATTACTTTTATCTTATGGATAGTGGCCTTCATGGTGCTCTAAGTTTCTGCTCCATACAGTAGAACTGCCTTGACATTTGTTATGAAAATTCTGACTTCGGTTGATAGTCATTTTGAGATCCATATATTCTCCAAGCGCAGAAATGCTACCCTTGCTTTTCTGATCTACATGAGATCCACCATGCTCATCAATGATGCTGCTGCCCAAATATGTACAGGTTTCTACATCTTCCAAAGCTTAGCCTTCAAGTGTGATTAGTTTAATGGATGGTGTGTTGTATCGAAGGATCTTGCTGTCTCCTCTGTACCTGTTGATACCTACTCCTGCTGAGGCTACCGCAACACTAGTCGTCTTCTGCTGCTTTTAATGTTGTGTATGGGGTAGAAAGGCTAGATCGACTACCGATTCCAGACATCATAACCCTTCTAACGCTGAATATTTATAGGGTTCATGTGTAGTAGTTGAATATTCATCAGATGTTTATATTGTGTTACAAAGTCAGTGTTTATTATTTCAAGTATCAAAACGTTATTCACTAGATTTTAAGTCACAACAGCTGTTATTTCTATAGTAGCTATAGTGTTTAATTTTTCATGAAATGAAATTCTAACAATGAATGATTCACGATTTCGATGTATAAAACAACCATCTTCATAACTCTTTAATGTAACATCATAAAATTAGCTCACAAATGACTATGGAAATTCTTGTAGTTCTAGTGAGTAGCCGTGACCAGCGGAGTTTAACCCTATCGCATTTAGGCAGTAACTATCGAAGACAATGTGTGAAGTTGTTCAAAACCTTAAACTAATTAATTTTAGACATAAGCACTGCTGGATACCAGCTCAGGGTGCTAGCGGTTAAGCGTTGGCGCATGAAATCGAAGGTCATAGGTTCGAGTCCCGGAGGTGGAGGTCGAGGATACTCACTAATAAAGAGTCCCACCCAGTGCTTCCAGATTTATAATGGCAGTCTAACAATGACTGATTCACGATTTCAATGTATTATACTGAATGTGATGTGTGATTGTCAATACATAATCAATTAGATGAAATAATTTATTACTGAAGGTTGAATAAAATAAATATTTACAGGATAAGTAAGTATAACTGTACACCTAATCAGCCTATCATAAATTGATTTTAAAAAAGTAATTAATCATATTTCTTTCATGATTTAAAAAGAAAGAAAACACAGCATACCTTATAACTAAAGCCTTCCTTAACGTATCCAATTATCTTTCATTTGATTGGTTGAATTGTTTCAGTCAAGACAGTCGTGCTAAACCAATGAATTTATGCATAAAATAATCAACATTCAATGTTCGATGATTGTTTCGTAATTCAGAATATTTTCGAAAAAATTTAACGACTTCCACAAGCATCACAACTTTAATAATTAAATTTTTTCTAGAAATAAAAAAAGAAAAGAGAATAATACTCAATCATGGAACGAACATCAAAATTAATGCATAATTTACGCATTCGACAAAGAATTTTTCATTCACAAATGATCAAATTAAAAATTATTTCTATTATTTTCAATTCAATTTTAATGATTGTTGGTATTTTAATATTTGGTGCTGTATTATCTGCAATCAGTTATCCAACTTGGTTGAAAATGTTTATATCATTACAAAAAATCACAATAAGTTATGCAATTCTAATATGGATTGTATTTTTTTGTCTTGCATCAATTACGTTGGGAATAATTGGAATATTTGCAATTCAACGTAAAGCAACATTGATTTTAGGCATACAAGTAAGTGAATTTTTAATGTGCTTCAAGGTTATTATTCTTCTCAGTAAGCAAACAAACATGTCATTTATATGGGGTTCTAGAGATTGTTGAGTTTCATTTTTAAATCATCATCTGATGAGTGTTATCATCACCATTAGAATCCTGGAAGCACTGCACCACCGTTTCGTTCCAATATGGAACTCATCAGTAGTACGCATCTATAATCCCGCAAGCGAGTGTCGAACCCAGGAACTTCAATCTAGACCACTAAGTCTGCATTCAATTTTATTCATGTCTAGGTTGAATGAATCCTTTATATTACGTAACTATCATCCAATGCCTTCGGTGGATAACTCTGTCTTACGTGCGACACGGTTGAACTCACTAGAATTCACTCGTAAAGCTAATCGCTACTAAGCACATGTGAAACACATATCCCTATTATTCTACTCTTTAGTTATAAAAGGTATTAAGCATGAATTAAAATGGATTTTAATATTTTTAGGTATCTACATAAAAATGATAACGAACTGTCAAATAAGTGAAAAGAGTCCTTTTTTATTGCTTCATGAAAAGTACTTAGTCAATTAACAATAAGCTGTACAGTTAATGTAATATACACTATATTCGTATTAATAATCATTAAAATAGTCTATCACTGATAATTGTCTATTGTTTAGCTAATACTCATAAAGCATAATACATGAGGTGCATTTTTTTCCGTTTTAGACAAATCGGTTTTTTTCTATTCATGATTTATCAAATACTAGAATTTTTGTTAGGACGGATAAATTATGTGAAGGTGTGAAATAAATAACTATTGATAGCATTAAATTAGATAACTGGAAGCATTGGATGGCCGTTTCGTCCTAGTATGGGTCTAATCGGAAGTGCACATCCCCGACCCCCACACCCCAGAAACGAACCCAGGACCTTCAGTCTCACTTATAAATGCTTAAATTTGATACCCCTGAGCTGGTATCCAATTGTGTTATTGCCTAACTATGATCAATCCCCGGTCTTGCATAATCTCATTCAAGACCGAAGCTTCTGGGTTAGATTCCCGCTTGCTGTGGTCGCGGACGCGCACCACTGATGAGTTCCATACTAAGACGAAACGACCATCCGATGCTTCCAGGTTTCTAATGGTAGTCTAACCCTGACCGATTCATGATTTCAATGAATCTCCATAACCCTATAATCAAAATTATTAATCACGCTTAGATAAAATAATATTAATTATTTCTGATTGGTCAGTTAAGGTTTAAACATTATAGTGTGATACAAATTTTAGTTATATGAATCAAACAACATTGATGATTGATAAACTAAATGAAGTGAGTTGAAATCTATCTTATTATTTAAAGATATCAGTTTTCTTGAGATAGTGTCAATATTGTTTGGACGAATGTTGAACTAATGTAAAATAATCGTGTATTACTAATTTGTTTAGAACTGAAAGATCAAATTATCAATTGAAATCTCACAGTGCTAGAGATAGTAGAAGTATCAGAGGTAATGGAGAAGATTACGGTTTGAATCAATTATTCACGATGTATAAGCCAGTGAAATAAATTTAAAAAGAGAGTTTGTGAGGAAGTCAGATTAAAATTTCAAAAAAAGACATACGATGTATACATTTGAACCCTTGCAAACTATTTTGAGTTATGTCATTTCGAGTCTTTATAACCGCCGGTTACTATTTTCTCGCGCACCCCAGATAGGAAATCCTTAGATATCCCATTTAAGTGACATTTATTTATTTTCTTCTCGTGGAGGTGTTGTATATGAGGTTCAGAGGATGAACTGCCAGTATTCGACGCCTTAACCAAATTGATGGTGGTACAGATGATTCACTTAGGGGAGTTGAAAAACCTTGATTTCAGACCAATGCGCCCCAGCACTTTGAGGGAACCAGCAGTGTACAAACCTATTGTCGGTCACCGATTATTATGAGATCGCATCATCTGACCTTGCTTCAGTACCTTATGGATTAAACTTTAAGGTCAAAGGTTCGTGAAATGGCCTTCTAAAAAATATCATCCTCTTCTTTAGTTTAGGCATCCAGACAGTATGCCAGCCTACATAAAACACAACCAATTATTTGTGTAATGCATATATTTTTTGGTGTTTCTCCATACGTTTGTTTATGTGTTTAACTAAACATAAAAAAGCCCACGTAATTGTGTGAACTAGGCTTTTCAATTCTAGTCAGTTTCAATAAAAAACATCAAAATCTTTTAAGACAAATTTACTAAAATATTTAAAGACATTTTTTAATGAATTTCATTAATCACCAGCGACTGCCTCGACGAGCTTTGTTTTATGGTGTAGGAGTAGGTTGGAAGAAAGTTAGGGGCGGCCAGACAAAAACATGGCAGCAATCCATGAAGTCATTGACAAGTGGACTGAGTCATATTGGTAGGTGTCGACTACCTGGTTGGGGTCCGCGAGATGATAATAATCGATGGTTAGAGACCCTGAATGATATGGCTCAAAACCGTTTCCAACGCCACCGGTGCATTTATTCTTTGTGTTCTCTCAAATCCGAATCTCCTGGATTCTTCAACACCTCTAGTTTTTTTGCTTCCTAAGCCTATCTCATACTTCTTGAATAATATCTTCTAATCCTAACCTCTTCGATTACTTCTAATACCTTTACTACCTCTACTACTATTGGATTTTAATTGACAATTGTGTTTCTGTGCTAATGTGGTATGGCAACATGAACTGATGTACTTGTGTACGAGGTTCTACGTTGCGACTGACTGATTAATCATAGTAAAAAATGAAGTGTTAAAACTAATTTCTAACTATTGACTTCATTCCAATTAGGTTCATAAAAACATGCTTTCGTTTATCAGAAACAATGTTAACTAATCTCAGTTACATGTGTAATAAATATTAAAGAATAAGTTTCATTTTATTTTAAAAATATTTCTGACAATAGATTTTTATAGATATGAGTTTGAATTAATTGATTGAAATTAGGAATCATTTATTGTTCGACCACCATTAGAAACATGAAAGCACTGGACAACTGTTTCGTCCTAATATGGGACCCTTCATCAGTGCGCGCATCTACGACCTCGCACCTCAGAATCACTTGTGTACGCTTAACCTCCAGACCACTGAGCCAGTGTCCAATAGTGGGTAATGTCTAACTTTGATCAATACATGATCTTGCACAACTTCATCCAAGATCGAAGGTCCTGAATTACAATTCCACTTGTGTAGGTTGTGTTGTATGGGCACTGTGGATGAAACCCATACTAGGATGAAACGGCCGTCCACTGTGCTCCCAGGTTCCTAATGCTATTCTTAAAATGATCGATTCATAATTTCACTGAAATTCAATTCATTCACACCAGTATCCTTTTTATTTTATATGGCACCGTTTCACCAGAAAAAAAGAAGTGAAATTTGGTGCCCAACCATTCACCTTTTTTTAAGGCTGAGAATTTATTGTAGGTGAACAGTTAATAGTTCTTATCTAGCCCATTCTGACTAATCATATAAATCTGTTGTGAAGATTTGTATCGTTCAGTTTACGTTTTCTCTTTAAAAGGACGTTTCTTACTTATTATTATTACTGTTCAAGATTAATGAGTTTCATATCGTCTTCTAAAATGATTAATTATTTGTATTAAATTACAAATCTTTGTGTGAAACAAATATTTTATGAATATATATATTCATAGTGTACATTTAAGGACGGAATTTCATTTTTTTTCCCTGATAGTAAATTTACATGTTATAATTCATCATGTATTCTGCATTGAACCCGATTGATATAATTAATTTTTTATTGTATTAAGATAAACTTTTGATTTATTTTAACAAAAGGTCGTTGTGATGTATCATTAATTTTTTAGTGGGATAAATATATACAATAAAAATTTACGGTGAATTATTTTTAGTTCATCAATGTAATCAGTTATTTGATTGGATTAGTTGTGTGTCCGTGTGTGTGTGTGTGTGTGTGTGTTAGAACACTTTCCAACAAATCATTGGGTTTTTACTTTTTTTTTTAAAACAACTTAATATGCAGTACAGGAGTTTAAAGTATGAACTAATATAGGATTTATTATTGTTAATACTTTGATTTTTAAGGTGACTGAATAAATTACATTTTTGTAGATTATTTTTTTTAAACAGCTACTGACGAGTAAACAATAGTTTACAAGACATAACTTCACGCACAAGACCAAAGGTCCCGGGTGAGGTACAGGAGTCGTGGATGAGCTTTGCTACTGATGAGTCCCGTGTCAGGACGAAACAGCCATCCAGTGCTTCCAGGTTTCTAATGGTGGTCTAACCACAATATAAGGTTAAACAGTCATTGTTAGACCACCATTAGAAACCTGGAAGCGCTGGATGGTCGTTTCGTCCTGGCATGGGATTCATCAGCAGTGCATATCCACGACTCCTGCACCTCGCAGGATTCGAACCCGGGACCCACGGTATTTTGCGACCCCTAGATCAATAAGAGTTAGACATTAACACCGTTGGATGCTGGCCCAGTGGTCCGATGGTTAGGCGTTTGCGCATAATACCGTGGGTCCCGGGTTCGAATCCTGCGAGGTGCAGGAGTCGTGGATGCGCACTGCTGATGAATCCCATACCAGGACGAAACGGCCATCCAGTGATTCCAGGTTTCTAATGGTGGTCTAACAATAATTGATTGATGAGTTCAAATGTGTAAAAACACTGATCTCCATAACTCTAATTGAAAACATAACTTGATATTATACAATATAGATATTTTGCTTTATGGATTCTGGTCGAAATGTGAAAGTCACAAAGACGTTTGAAATAATTAACAAGTACTGAGGACCAATTTTACTACGCTTTGAAGAGAGCACTAAATACTTTAACTGGTGTTGGAGATCTGTAGCTCAAATGGATGCTTTGGATGGAGTCTCGTTCCCTTAGCTGGGTGGTTTGACAATGGAGCTTCTCAGAAAACTGCAAGTAGATGTAACGTATTCTAGTTTCTTCATTCATATCAAACAACTTGT